TTGACTAAGTGTTTGTTCATCGTTTGTCTTTTCACTCACTAACATGTCCTACCTCTGAGCAGTTTTGAACTAGAGCACTTGTTCCTGAAGGTATTTGGAACTCATTGAAGTTCCAATAAAATGTGTATTATCATTCAAAAGGCTTCTTTATAATTTTAAAGAATAATTTGACTCATTTAAAAATTAGCAACATTAAAGAGGAAAAATTAGCAGCATTATTTAGCTCTATTTGTTTCTGACCTGACCCTCTCTTTGGGAAAAACACAATTCAAATGATAACTAGGTAAGTCTCATGCACTACCTTGCTTAATATTTTTTTTCTTCTCTATAGGTTTCCTATCTTGGATTTCTCTTCTTTTTACTGTGTTTCTCACTGGCCACTTTACTTCTTTATATCTTTTTCTTGCACTTTTTGAACCTTTAAAAATTTTTAATTGGAAAGTGAGAAAATCCTAATTAGTCATTTATTATAGAAATTAGAGGCCTGGTGCATGAAAATCATGCACTGGAGGTGGGGCTCTCTTAGCCCTGCCTGCCCTCTCTCACAGTCCAGAAGCCCTCAGGGGTAGGAGGTGACCTGGCAATCAGAGGAAGGTGACGTCCTATCACACCTCTGCTGTTGCCACTGCCGACATCACAAGCCTTCCCTGGTTACCTGAGCCTGGGTTGGCCCTGAGCATCTCGGAAGCTACCATCTGAGGCTTGTCTGTGCCTTGGGACAGCTCTGGGCAGCTGAAGGACTGAGGGGACAAGGGGACTCTGGAGGCAGGCATGCAGCAAGGCCTGGCAGGACTGAGAGTGCCACCATCTTTGAGGACCTGTCAGTAAATTAGCTTATTCCCTCTTTATTAGATAGGATACTTCTAAAAGTGAACATTTTCTATCATCTGGGTACCCTTCCATAGCCACTATGAACTTTTTACATGTTTTATTTCAAATGTTTTTTACTTGTATCTATATTAATAGGTTATATTTCTATTATCATTATACATAATTTAATCATATTTTATTTATTATGTTGACATTTGTCTTTTAACTTAACATTCTATATTGAAACATATCTTTACAAGTCAGGATACAAAAACCTATCTTTTTCATTTAAAAGTTGAATAATATCCCATTGAATAGCTGTAGAGTTATTTAATTAATATTTTACCAGTAGATATTATGCTCCCATAAAAAAAGATGAACTGACTCTGAATTTTCATAAGATAAAATGCTAAAGCGAGGGCAATTTGACAGGTTTCATTAGAAAAAGTGGGGCTCAAGGAGCCAGCTAAGAGTTCAATTTGGGGCTTCCAGTCAAGATCGCAGTGTAGGTAAATCTAGAATCCTCCTACAACCACATAAAAATACAACTAATCTTCAATACAACCATAATTCAGAATCACCTGAAATCTAGCTGAATGGAAGTCCTACAACTATGACATTAAAGAAGAAGCCACAACTAAGACTAGTAGGAGGGGCAGTGGTGCAGAACAGGCTGATACAACACACATGTGTGGTGTTCTTTAATCAGGAAGAATATTATGGCGGGAAATTCCCCCAGAGAAGCAAGAAAACTACCAGATACAGAGTTCAAAACAATGGTTATTATGATTGCTCAAGGAATTTACTGAGAATTTCAAGGAATTTAGTGAGAACTACAACAACAACAAAAGTATAAGAACCTTAAAAAAAAAAAAAAAAGTCAGAAGTGAAGGATATAGTAACTGAAGTGAAGAATCATTTACATGGAATCAACAGCAGAGGACACCTAAAATTAAATCAGTGATTTAGAATATGAAGAAGCTTAAAGCACCAAATCAGAAGAGCAAAAAGAATTTTAAAAAGTATGAAGATAGTGTAAGAAGACTCTGGGATATCTTCAAGCATACCAATAATAGCATGATGAGGATGCAGCAAGGAGAAGATAGGGATCAAAGAGATTGAAAACTTATTTGAAAAATTAATAACAGTAAACTTTCCTTACCTGATGAAAAAATAATCATACAAGTGCAGGAAATACAGAAAGTCTTAAACAAGTAGAATCTAAAGAGGTCCAAACCAAGACACATCATAATTAAAATTCCAAAAGTCAAAGATAAAGAATCTTGAAAGCTTCAAAAGAAAAGCAGTTAGTTACTTACAAGGGAGCATCCATAAGACTGCCAGCTGATTTCTCAACAGAAACTGTGAAGGCCAGAAAGAGTGCAAGAAATATTCAAAATAATGAAAAACAAAGGCCTACAACTAAGAATAGTCTAATGAGCAGAGCTATCTTTAGAATTGAAGATAAGAAAAAGCTAAAGAAGTTCATCACCACCAAATCAGTATTAAATGAAATGTTGCAGGGTCTTCTTTAAGAAAAAAAATATCATAAATATGAACAATAAAATGGCAATAAGTACATACCTATCAACAACTGAATCTAAAAATCAAAATAAACAAACAAGCAGAACAGAAACAGACTCATAGATATAGAAAACATGTTCCAGATTGGAAGGGGGTTGGTGGAATGAGTGAAAAATGTGAAGGGATTTAGAAGTACAAATGAGTAGCTATAGTATGATCATAAGGGTGAAAAGTATAATATATGGAATATATTCAATAATATTCTAATAAATATAAAATATTTTGGGATGATCACTTAGTAAATTTTATAATGTCTAATCCCTGGGGTATACACCTGCAATTAACATAATATCATATATCAACTATAATTGAAAATTTAAAAAAATAATCTTTAAAAAAAATGAACTTAATTTTGGACACCTTGATATTTCAGCTCCTTTAAAAAAATCTAAGGGAGTCATTGAGTATAGAATTGCACTTGACTATTTGAGTCTGAAATTCAGAGAAATGTTTTAAATTTAAGATATACATTTAACATAATCTATGCTCTAATGGTTTATTATAATATTATTTGTCCCAGATGTATTTTCTGGGGAGGGGGTTCTTAGGAACTTGTATGTGAATACATGTTTATATATATATTTATACATATACACATTTTACACATAAATATAAATATACATTAGACACATAATTCATATATAAAGTATGTAACTTATATAATCCATTATAGAGCTTTGCATAATATATATGAGTTAGGTCAGCATTTTGCTCTGTACACTGTTGGCCAGTGAGAACTGGCTGACCCTGTGCTGTGATTTCTCTCAGCTAATGGGCACTTGGTAGCATTGTCTTGATCTGTACTTTCTGTGTAAGTTTTTAACTCAGGTATACCTCCTCTTCCTGCCATTGCCTTTATGCTGTGGTTCCCGGTTTTCCCACATAATAATGTACCAGGATAGATAAGTCCTAGAGGAATACAGGTTTGAAAACAAAGCCTAATATTTAGATGTTGAAATGCAAGTGTAAGAAAACTCAGAAAATGCTTTTGTTAAATAATTGGCTGAGGAAACAAAACACACACAAAAAAAACTTGTTTGGATTGAAGTACTTTGACATTAACTGAGCAGAGTTAGTAAGTAAATAGAAAACACTGCCACTCCTGAGTTTTAATCAACAATTGTAAGTGTTGGGAGCTAGAAAAACTATGGTCAGGTTATAGCAATTTGCCAGTTATTTTTAATATTTGTGAAATCAATAAATGTAATTTAAAGATTTGATGTGTAGTTTGTCTTTTTTATTTTGTTTTTGAGCAACTCATTTTCAGTATATTTGACAAAAAATACAATCTGTAAGAAATTTGAAATGCTTAAAAAGAAAGTGACTAGTTCTTCACCAATAAATGTTTCAGAGTGCTAAGGATAATCCAGAGGAAGTATGCATAAAATATAATGAATTAAAAGATTAAGATTAAAATTACAATTTGCAAGTGAACATTCAGTTTTGAAGGATGAAAACCAAAAGTCCATCTTACACTGGGTATGAAACTGTGTATGAACAGATGTATGAAAGGATGCTCCTGAAGTCTGGGCTATACCCTCATCTAAAGCCACAATGCTTTCCAAGGGAACTGCTATAATTGCTACACCAAACTGAAACATTAATTGAATGTTTTAAAGCAAGACCTATACAAACTGTTACCCATTCAAATGTACTGTCAATAAATCATTTTTATTTAGCTCTTTCTAGCAATTATGTGGAAATCGTTTCTAGTGTTGTAGTCAATTTTAGAACATTAAGTGCTTAGTAGTTTCATTACCCCTGAATATTACCAAGAGCCATTACATTATGGGCTAATGATTTGGCAAATGTAATTATGTAAATCAAAGCTATTTTGACATTTAGATGTTCAAAAGAATCTATAGCTATTGAATGTTTATGGTCTTATTCATTTTAATTTTTTCATCAATTAAAGTTTTCTTTTGTGTAGATATATTTGTGATGAATGAGGTTATATAACTTTTTTCTTAAAAATACTAAAAAATGAAAAGAATAATGGAGTTTTTTGTAGGATTTAAGATACTGAACATTTCCCAATTCAACTAATAAGAAGTGAATGTTTGATAAGCCATGGAAACAACAAAATTTTAATGGGAAACTAGACTCTTTTTAACTATAATAACCTTGTTATCCATATTATCAATTTTGTTTACATGTTAATTGAACCTGTCTGGGTAGAATAAACTGACTAAAAGAAAATTCTCTGAAATAGCTCCAGTGCTTCATTTAGTTCCTGGAAGTTCTTGGTTTCCAATGGGACAATTCTTGTTGTGAGAATGTGATATTTTAGGGTGCCTGAATAATCTACTGTAGACAAACAAGGATACGTAGTTAAAATTCACTAGCTAATTGAAATCAAAGTATAATGTCCATGAAATGTACACTTGGACAGTTCTTACTTGAGGCCAAAGTAAATTTTCTAGCAAACAAACTGACCATGTCACCATAGAACAAATAAATTCAAACATAGCTGAATATGTCCCCAATAATAAATAAACTCAGTTTGTTTGTTGTTTGTTTGTTTTGTGTGTGTGTGTGTGTGTGTGTGTGTGTGTGTGTGTGTATGTGTGTGTGTGTGTTTTATGGAAGATAAACATAGTCAAAAGTGAAAGATAGGTTATTACTAATGGGAGAAAGGTGAGAAACGACCCAATTTCAGGAAGTTGTAGATTTTCTCTGTGAATATAATGACTCGTCTATATGCAAGGCATGCATTACCAAAGTGAAAGAATCAAGTGAAAGAGAGAAATACAGTGGATAGAAGGAGCACAGAAAATGAGGCACAGAGTAACAGAAATGAGCCCAGAGAAGTAAGTAAGAAAGGATATGGAATGTTTTTTACTATGTGTTGTAGAAACCGATTTAGTTCATAGAGGAATAGGGAACTGCAGAAGAAGCTATTATATAAATCAGGTGAGTCATTTATGTAAAGCAGTCTAGCAGCCCTGCAGATTTTAGAGGTAAGAAATGAGGACTTACAGATTTATTTGTTTTTGTCTGCTAAAGAGAATAGCATACACTGGGTGGCTTATAAACAACAGATATTTGTTTCTTACAATGTGGAAGGGTGGAAAGTCCAAGATCAAGGTACTGGCAGATTCAGTATCTGATGAGGACAAGGACATAATTCCTAGTTCATAGCCAGGTGATTTCTTGCTGTGTCCTTACAAGGTAGGAGGGGCAAGAGAGCTCTCTGGAGTCTCTCAAAAGGCGTAATCCTATTCGTGAGGGCTTCACCCTCAAGACCTAATCATCTCACAAAAGCCCTACTTCTTAATACATTGTGGGTTAGAATCTTGATGTATGGACTTGGGAAGGACATAAACATTCAGTTCTTAACAGTAGCAAAGTGGTATAGACATGCTTGAGAAATATTTAAGAGGTGAAATAACTGCAGGATGTAGGAGATGAAGGAAAAAAAGAGATAAGGAATGGCACCAATTTTTTCCTTTGGGAAATTGGTTGAGTAATGGTACCACCTATAGAGAGAATATTAAGAAGAGAAGTCAGATTTAGGAAGGAAGAAGCTGAGTTCATTTTTAATCAGGTTGAGAAAAGAGAGCTGGGCTCCAGGATATATTTTGTTGTTTTTAACATGTGGCTGCTAACAGAAACCTTGTCTGTAGATGAGGCTATCTGGAGAGAAGTAAAAGTGAGAGGTGAGGTTTTATCACATTCTTTAGAAGGTCTTTCAAAAGATTATTTAGCATTCCAGAAGTCCTCACTTATTAGTTTTTATCCTGACCATCAAACGTCTATTACTAGTATAGTATACCTATACATAGGGTTCTTCCTTTCCATGGAAGAGCTAAAAATGACCGATTATTAATCATAACCTACAGCTAAATAAATATAGGAAAAATATGTAGGATTCAAAAAGAAATTTTTCATTAATTCTGACTCTAAAAAAAGGAATGAGGGTAGAATCTCCAAGTGGAATTGAAATCTGAGCTAGGACTTAAATATCAGCTATGATTTAATTATATAGAATAAGTCAAGCATTTTGTTATCTGAGGTAAAAGATTACATAAGAAAAGGCATTTAGCAGAAACCGGTTTGACTCAATGGATAGAGCGTCGGCTTGGGGACTGTAAAAGTCCCGGGTTCGATTCCAGTCAAGGCATGTACCTTGGTCGCTGGCATATCCCCAGTAGCGGGTGTGCAAGAGGCAGCCGATCGATGACTCTCTCATCGATGTTTCTAACTCTCTATCTCTCTCCCTTCCTCTCTGTAAAAAATCAATAAAATATATTTTTTTAAAAAAGAAAAAAGAAAAGAAAAGGCATTTAGCTGCAAACTGTCTGGAATTGATAATTATTGCTGAGATAGCGAGCATGATGAAAAATTTAGAAAAGAGTATGAATAGAAGGAGTTGGGCCAAATGATGGAGCATTTTAGTTCTGCATAAAAGAGACCAGATTTTGTTTAATGAGCTATACATTTTACATTTTTTTTGTAATTTTCATCTGAGGATATTTTTTTCATTGTTTTTAGAGAGAGAGAGGGATAGAGGGAGGATGGGAAAAGGGAGAGAGAGAGAAACATTGATGTGAGAAAGACACATCCATTGGTTGTCCCTCCTGCACACGTAGGGGCTGAGGACTGAACCTGCAATCAAGGTATATTCCCTTAACCAGGAATAGAATCTGCAATTCTTCAGCCTGTGGGCTGACACTCTAACCTTTGAGCAAAACCAGCCAGGAGTATGGGGAAATTTTGAATAGTAAGAGTCATGACTAGAATTACACTTTGTAAAAATTAAACAGGTATCTTGTAAAAAAGGGATTGGTAAACATGGGAGATATGTTTATGTTTCTTCTATTTGTCTGATTGAGGGTCTGATGTTAGGCAGTGAGAAGTGGAAATGGAATAGAGAATAAAAATGGGAGACGTTTTGGAAGATTTTGAAAGTGTTTTGACTGATTCAGGTGAATCTTGATAGCAGGAATAGTCATGTGACTACTAATTGCTCAGTTACGTGAAAAGGAAGCTGTTCAGAAGGAGACATAATGAGGCCACATTTGAAAATAGTTAATTTGACATGTCCAGAGGGCATTTGGAATCTAAATTCTGGTGTTTGGGATAGAAGTTAAGGCTGGAGATAAATATGCAAAATCACCATGATCAGGTGCTTTAAAAACCTTCAGATTGCCCAGGTTGAGAATATTTAGTTTTCTATATCCTCCACTAAAATAAAACTTTCTTAAGGTTCAAGACTGACTCTCATATATCTTTGGACACTCCCTCCCTGCCTTCCTGCATCACTCAGGGCTTGCACATCAATAAGTTCAATGAATGCTCAGTTAGTTGAGCTGAATAAAATAAAATAAAATTTAATTGAAGGTGGCCAAGAACAAAATATTTGGGGGGAAAGTAGTGACATTTAGAAGGCAATTAAAGAACTCAGAGCCAGCATGGGGCCCAGGTGAAGTCAGAGGAAAGAATCAGGAGAGATTACTAGAAAGAAAGGTTGTCAACAGTGTCAAGTGCTACATATATAAGTTGAGTGAGGCAGAGGCACTGTTTGGGATTTGTTGATTAGGAGCTCACAGATTATGTGATAGAACCATTTTTTTTCAGTGTGCTGAGAGAAACCAAAGCTAAATCATACCTGATTCTTCTCAGATCTTGCATTCTTACCACATTTCTCATTGTAGTCACTAGCTGCCTAAGTTTTAAGTTCTAATAACAACAGCACACCTTCAAATAACACTTCATATATATTACCAGAGGTCCGATGCATGAAATTTGTGCAAGGGGCAGCTGACTTTGCTTGGCCTCTGCCTTAGCCCCAGCCCATTGTGGTAGCCACCCCTGCTGCTGCTCCTACCTCCCCCACACCCCATGCCTTGGTGGCTTCCTCTGGAAGGTCATCTGGAAGGACATCCAGTCTAATTAGCATACTATGTTTTTATTATTATAGATTTTTGCCCTCACAACACAGCAAACTAGATGCTATTGTACAATTTTGCAGATTAAAACAAACAAGAAAAGTAAAAAAATCCCCAAAGTTCAAAGAAGTTAAATTTTATGTCCCAGGTTACATAGCAAGAAACTGACCTAAGATTCTAATTATTCCTGATGCCCAATGTGGTGCCACAGCTTTTGTAATTCACTGCCTGCCCTCTGGTGTATCCTCTAAAGTTTAGAGTCTAAACTGACATTCTCGAGTCCTGGACCACTGACAACTCTCTTTCATGTCCCCAGATAATGCCTTATTCTACCCAAATTCCAACAGCGTGGATGTTTTGAAATAATAGTGAGACAATGCAGGTAAGTATGTTCAGTGTAAAATATTTTCACAGTTTAAAAGTAAGGCTTTTTATCTCCATATCCAGCCTTTGGCTCTTGATATTATCAATGGCCAAGATTTTGAGCTTAAGCCATAAAATTATTTTTATATCATATCAGTCTGTGAAAAAATTTGTAATTCATCTTTATGCCCAAATTCCAAAACAACTTAGTAGTGTTTTTAAAACCTAAGTATATTTAATTTATCCAATATATAAGTGCTATTTTGTTTTCATTTCCTATTGTTGTAAAGATAGCACTTGTGGAGATTTTTCAAACTGTTAAGAAGATAAATGTTAATGTTTCATGATATACATATGTATAATATAATTCTGAAGTATCTGTAGCAAATGTTTAAATTTTCACATGCATAGCATATAACAGGTACAATGTTTAAATACATTTACCTTATCTGATTGTGGAATTGGACTGTGAGCTAAAGTTCTCAGGAGTAACCAAATTTTAATCAGGTAATTTAACCATTATTATCAGGTGAGGTCAGTTCACTGTGACACAAATGTCCTGGCTGATGATAGTTATTTCAAGTAAAACTTGCAAAAACACTTTCAAAGTAACTTAATATCATTTCAAACTTAATTGCACAATAAAAACATTAGTGAACTTGAGCAGAATCTTGAATTTTCCATTATGTAACAGGAAGTCCCGAGTTCAAGTGAAATGAAATATTGTTAATTAATTCTGATCTTGGATTTCCCAGGGATCAAATAGTTTATTGAAAAGTGGAATATAATCAATCAAACGTTATTTTATATTTAAAAACTTTCTACCATTGAAGCAAAACTGGCTTTTAAACTTATTTCAATTATTACTTTTTAATTCCAAAAAAATAATTATATCCGTTTACTTCTGGTTTGCTTTATTAACTGCACATAAACATACTTTTCTAAAATTAATTCTATTATTGATACTTTTATGAATCTTATCGATGTGTTCAAAAAATAACTAATAATGATTTAGAAAGTCTTTATCCTCATCAGTGACAGAATTTCATCAATAGTTTATTGATTTGTTCTCTAATAATATTTATATTTATGGACATGGCATATGTAACATTTCAGAATGCATTTAACTGAGAGGATATGACACATTTTCATTTGCATATGTTGGAAAGAGCAATTACACAATATTTATTATCATCACACACTTTTGTTGAGAAACTGACAATATTGCTCCTACTCAAATGTATTTATGAAATATTTTTATCACCCCCCAAATTTCATAAAAACATAAAAGTGTAACACTTTTTCTGCTTTAGTATTGCAAAATAACTTTCATTTATGCAAAGAACACAAGAATAAATCCAC